TTCCCCCGCGCAGGTCCGACAGGCTGCCAGCCGGCCACGGCACCGCAAAACACAGAGTGCTGGCAGGCAGCAGGGCTGCTAACGCGGGATAAAGCCGCCTCCTTTCGCTCAAGATCAGTTAGTTTGTAAATGGTAATTTTCGTCCCTAGATGGCACTACAAAATGCTGGTGATCAATGGAGCTTTTTGTTTACAGCTGTGTAATTAAGTACTTACTCTCCCTTCATTTCATAAAAACGAATCAAAAGCTAGAAGGGCAGCATCCCCCGCTAAGACAGCCTGCACGTGCTACAGGCATGGAAATACATTTACTGTAGCGTAACGCTTCTCAGTTAGAAATCTCAAAGAACGGCAAGAGTCTTCTTTTACAGAAGTAAACATTTTGAGGGCCTGGAAAACACCAAGGGAGAACAGAGCTCCTGAGGCGCACAGATGAGCTCCAATAAGAAGTTCAAAGCGAGAGAAGATCCCAGCTTCCCCAAAAGATGGAGCAATAGGCAAAGGGCAGGGTTCAAGTCCCCATGCCAAGCCTTGGTTTAAAGTAGCTTTTTCTTCTACTTGTTGCTTTGAGACAGGCCAGACACAAAGTCTTTCAGAACGGCGAGACAGACACCTGCCAGTCTTTCACTTCTGGGTGCCAAGGCTGGCGGTATCACTCTTCTGCCTGGGAAAACACTACGTTCCTCCTTCGTGGGAGACATCTAACACTGGATGAACACCGAACGGTTTAGGTCAGTCCTACCACTTCAGGGCAGTGGCCTTCAACCTGCCTGTTTGTTTTGGTCTCTTTTTGGGTGGCAAAGAGAAGCCTTCAGGTCCAAACCCTCCCTGACCTATGAGGCCATGCGGTGCCCTTTTTATGACGGCACAACCTTTCAGCCTGCCTGTCTGTTAGCTCTGTACTCTGGGGTTCGTAAGGCCCTTGGCCAACAGGGGCCTTTAGGAATTAAGAAGCCTGCCCATCTTCCCCTAACAATTGACACCTGCTCAAGACAAACCTCCTCAGCCACAGCCTTTTGGAGGCGGTACCTCACGATTCTAGGGCAGCTCGCTTGGATGGTCACTGGGGCTCCATGTTAGACTCTTAACTTCCCTCTGACAGTGCCCTGAAGTGATCAGGTCTTTAAAGCAACTGCTGCTGGAAAAACAAACGAAACAGTGCTCCGTACGCAACGAGCAGCTAGGAACGGGAGAACCAGATCGCTCTTCCTTAGTTTCCTCCCTTTTCTTCCTTCTTCTACAAAAATCCACAGGAACTGAATGAAACGAGAAGCCAGATAACAGCCGCACGCAGCAAAGGACACGACATTTGAACTCGAACCCGAATCTTTTAACATCACTGGAGCCCATCAGCACATTACAGATAACTGCTGCCATCAAGCACGGCCAGAGGAGCCCCGAGCTGCTCTCAGGGCCGCAGCGAGCGCCCACGGAGCGGGAGGCTGCTCACACAGCAGGTCTCCAGTGGAAGAGAGGATGCAGCGCTCGGAGCCAGCACGGTCACATGCTGCGGGGTCAGACTTGCCAACTCACTCCGCCAGACATCGCTCGCCCCCGAGGCGGGTGGCGAAGCCTCTCCCACTGCTAAAGCATCAGAAAATCCCTCCCCCCCCAAGT